ATCTGATAATTGAATGGCTTGACCACTTAATTTATCTCTTACTGATCATAATTTGATGCTTTTTTTTTTTTGGCTCCACCAAGCGGCACGTGGGATCTTTAGTTCCCTGACCAGTGATCACACCCACTACAGGGGAAGTGTAGATTCTTAACCACTGACCTTCCAGGGAAGTCCTGTGATACTTTTTAAAAAAACCTTTTTTTTTAATGTGGACCATTTTAAAGTCTTTACTAAGTTTTTTACAATATTGCTTCTCTGCTTTTTAAGTTTTTTGGGGCACTGAGGCATGTGGGATCTGAGCTCCCTGATTAGGGACTGAACATGCACCCCCTGCATTGGAAGGTGAACTCTTAACCACTGACTAGTCAAGGAAGTCCCCTCTGATGCTTTTTTGACTCCCCCTCTCTGGACATTGGGCTTTCCTGGTGGCTCAGACGGTAAAGAATCTGCCTGCAATGCAGGAGACTGGGGTTCAATCCCTGGGTCGGGAAGATCCCCTAGAGAAGAGAATGGCTACCCACTCCAGAATTCTTGCCTGGAGAATTCCATGGACAGAGAAGCCTGGCAGACTACATCCATGGGGTTGCAAAGAGTTGTACACAACTCAGCAACTAACACTTTCCCTTCTCTGGATATAGAGGGCCTTGTCCCTCTATATGCTGGCCTTGTCCACGTGTTCTTGAGGTATTCAAAGTCAAGGCAGTGCCTGAAGTGTTGAGGCTCATCAGAATATGCATCTTGGTTGAGGTGAGCACTGAGATGTGCTGCAGGGTCTAGGGCTCAAAGACTCTGCAAACTCAAAGGGAAAGCGATAAATGGCAGGCAAATTAACTTGTGTGGAGTGAAGGCTATGTAAGCTTCTTTGAAATGGCGATGTTGGGGACTGTTGATAAGCTCTGGGTTCCAGGCTGATGACTTTAGACTGATAAAATAGACCCAGAGAGATGCCAGGGGTGACAGAGCTGGGGAATGACCTCATGAGAATGGAATCGGAGAAAGATTATGTTAACAGCTGAGGATTATGTGAAGTGGAGAAGAGAGTAGGGGCTGGGAATGCAGCAAAGAGTCTCCTAGGCAGTGTAGGCAACTCTCAGCTTCTATTATGGTAGGGTCCTAGATGGTTGATGGAAATGGTTCTGAGTTACTCATTTATGGTGAGAAATATTCTTATCTAATTCCTTCTCCTTAGGGCATTAAGATTCTAACCAGAGGCAGCTTGATGAGTAAAGACTTTGAACCAAAAGAGTGAATTGGATGATCTTACTATTATCTCCTTTTCCTCAGAAGGGGCACATATGTCTGACTGTTAGGTGGTGCAGTGGTGAAGGATCCGCCTGCCAATGCAGGAGACACAAGAGATGCGGTTCGATCCCTTGGTTGGGAGGATCCCCTGAAGTATGAAATGGCAACCCACTCCAGTATTCTTGCCTGAAGAATTTCATGGACAGAGGAGCCTGGTGGGCTACAGTCCATGGGGTCTCAAAGAGTCAGATACGACTAAGCACGCATGCTAGACAAAAAATATCTGTATCATTTGGAGAGGACACCAACTGAATCATAGATTGTTTCTCCCTTTTCTAGGTTCTAGGGAGGCTTTCATTTTTCTCTAAATAAATTGCACAGCAATGGTTTAAACACAGACTTGATCGATTCCAGTCTTGAGTATACACCATAGTTGTCTTAAGTAGACGTTGTTATTATTGTTTATCTGTTTTTGTGTCACAAATATGTGATTTGGGAGATGGGTGATTAGCTAGGTTTAAAACGTACTGAGTTTGAAGTGCCTCAGGTGAGAAATGTCCAAAAGTCAATTGAAAATGTGAAGCTTGATCAATTTAGGAAGGAACCTGGGACTTGAGATCTTTTTCAGGTAGGATTCCAAGTGCTTTCTTTTTGGGGGTTATGTTACACCTCATAAAACTTAGTGAGGCTATTTATCATTATATTAAAACTGTATTGATTTATACATCTGCATCCTCTATACCAAAAGGAAAAGGGGAGTGGCAGAGGATGAGGTGGTCAGATAGCATCACTGACTCAATGACATAAATTTGAGCAAACTCCAGGAGACAGTGGAGGACAGAGGAGCTTGGCATGAGGCAGTCCATGAGGTTGTGAAGAGTTGGACATGATTGAGTAACAACAGTCCTCCATACCAGACAGTGAGCTCCCTGGGGTCAGGGATGGCCTCTTACTCATCTTAGTCAAAGTGCCTGTCTACTGTGGGTGCTCATTAAGTGTTGAATGAGTGAATGAGAGTAGTCTGGATAAAGGAGATGAAGGAAAAGAGGATCAGTGACAACTTTAGTGTTTTAAGTACAGAGGAGGAGGCCTTGAGGTATCTAAGACCACAGATCTAGTCACAGAACAGTCGTCGATGGAGTGCTAGGGAGGAAGTCAGAATTCAAGAAGTACAAGAAGAAGCTGGTATAAAGGGAAACCGAGAAAAGAGAATCATCTTTAGAACTGAAAGCACATGCTGAGAATAAATGCCTGCTAGGAATCTGAGTTTGCTTCCTCCTTACTTAGAGCCATCCACACTCTGGGTGCAGGCCAGCTCTTCCTCTGATGCCTTCTTGCTTCCATGCTCCCTGGAGGGGGTGCAGCAGGCCTCCCCTAGAGGGAACCCGCATCAGCAATTTCAGCTCCTACCGTTGCTGTAGAGTAGCGTCCTAGCTTCTTGTCCCACGTCTGCCATGACTTACAGTGTGACCTTGGGCAAGTCATCCCCTTTCCTCTGGGCCGCTAAAGTACCTGGCAGCTGTCAGGATGTCTGGGAGAACACAGTTCGGATGACTGGTGAGAATTCCAACTTGCCCTTTGCGGCGTTTCTTCTATAAGTCGCCTTGCCAAACACCAGCTGTCCTGGGCTCTGCTTTTGGTCCTCAGGCTGACTCGCACCCACCTGTTACTGGGCCCCTCCCGGCGTCCTTCGCCCGCAGTGCAGTTCACAGATGCGCCACTAGTCGGCACTGCCTTGACCTCAGCACAGAAATTAGCTTCAACCATTGAGGCCGACTATTGAGTGGTGAGGTCAAACTTATGTGGCTTTTCCCGTCTGAACTAAAATAGCCAAGGAAATGAAGTTTGAGGAAACGATTTAAGTGCTCTGAGAGCCGGTGCTACCGTACTCCTTGAAATTTTGATTTTAGACGCCTTTCTACTTGTTTTCTGCTCTTACCTCAGGTGCCCTGGGCCTTAAGAGTCGCTGAGACTTCAGGTGACTCATTGCTTCTTTTTCTCTTTCCTTGGTGGCAAAGAATCTTATATACAGAGGACTGGGTTAATCACTCTCCTTGACTTATAGCCTTCTTTCATCAGTGGTTCATATAAAGCCTCTCGTTTAATTGATTATTCCCTCTTATCTCATTACCCCTTCCATCTAAACTGCACTCAGCATTATAGCATTAGGCAACCATCAGATATTTTTAATGTGTATTTCTTTTGTTTATGTGTGTTCTTGAATAATAGGTAATGATTCTAGTATGTATGTATTTTAAACTTTTTCATGTATTTTATTCCATCCGGTGTACCCAAAATTTTATCTCAAGATGTAATCAATATAAAAATTACTGAGATACATTACATTCTTTTTTGTGTTCAAAATCCACTGTGTGTTTTACTCTTACAGTGTACCTCAATTTGGATGCTAAATTTTCTTTTTTTTAATTTATTTATTTATTTTTATTTATTTATTTATTTTTTTGGATGCTAAATTTTCATCAGAAATACTTGAACTGTTTTTAGACCATAAAATTTATATTGAAAAGTAGATTCATGTACATGAGTTGTTCCAAGCATGCTTTAAAATTTTCCAGTAACTGAATTAAATACCAAAAAAAACCCCACTTTCTTTTAATATCTGCATCCAAATTGACAAAATTGCTTCATTTTGTAGCTGGTTTAACTTTGAAGCAAAAGCATATATCAGTTTCAAAACTATGTCCAAGATAAGTAAATTTATCAACTCTCCTGTCAATCAGTAATATTCACATGAAATTTAAAGAGATATTGCATAAATTGAAAAGCAACTCTAAGATGTATTAATACCAACATTTAAACTTTCTTGTTGTTTTTGTAGCCAATTTACATAATACTATTGATTACAATGAAAATCTCCTGCATATTTATGTTAGAAAACTTCGCACTGATTTGCACTATGAGAAATTTCAATTTTAGCATAAATTCTCATATCTGTCTAGCTAATTTGCAAATAAGCATTTTCTTTCCTTGAAGCTTCAATTTTAGCTCCTTCATAACCAATATGATATCAGTAAGATTGTATGCACATTTTTTTCCCCAATTTTAATTATTTTCTCTACTTCTTTTTTCTTACTGGAGTATAATTGCTTGACAATGTTGTGTTAGTTTTTGCTGTCCAACAAAGTGAATCAGATTTATGTATACACCCATCCACCTCCTCTTTGAGCCTCGTTCCCACCCCAACCCCCCCTACCCCATCCCAACCATCGGGATCGTCACAGAGCACTGAGCTGAGCTCCCAGTGCTACACAGAAACTTCCCACTGCTGCTGCTGCTAAGTCGCTTCAGTCGTGTCCGACTCTGTACGACCCCATAGACGGCAGCCCACAAGTCTCCCCCGTCCCTGGGATTCTCCAGGCAAGAACACTGGAGTGGGTTGCCATTTCCTTCTCCAATGTGTGAAAGTGAAAAGTGAAAGTGAAGTCGCTCAGTCGTGCAGGACCCTTAGCGACCCCATGGACTGCAGCCCACCAGGCTCCTCCTTCTGTGGGATTTTCCAGGCAAGAGTACTGGAGTGGGGTGCCATTGCCTTCTCCAAACTTCCCACTAGCTATCTATTTTACACATGGTAGTGCATATGTATATATATGTGTATATTTTTTAATTTATAGAAGTTTTATCATGGCTTAGATCTCATTCAGTTTCTCACTTATCACTGTGATCCTTTTGTGTATGCATCTAATCCTTTGCTTCTAACTGCTACATACTCTTCCATGGTACCTGTGCCTCTTACCCAGGGATTCCCAGTGATGGAGACCCAGATTGCTTCCAAGTCCTGCCACCACAAATCATGATAAGGTGAATATCCTGTTCATGTCCCTTATGATCTTATGTGAGGTTTTTTTTTTTGGATGTATACTTAGCTTGATTGCTCTTCTAACCATGAAGCACTACTGCTTCTGTCCCTCATATTTCTTAGCTTTCCTGTTTCTTTGCTTTGCTTTTCTTCTCCTGGGATATATTCTCTCTTTTGTCTTTCAATTCCCTAATACATTTCCCAGCTGTGTCCATTCCACTAATTTTCAAGTCTACTGTGTGCTCAATTTTAGTTATTCATTTTTTATGCCTAACATTGCTTATTTTATTAAAGTTGTTTTCCTTATTTCAACTATTAGACTTTTCTATATGTGATACTTCTGTTTGATTCTTCTTTATGTTTTCTCATTCTGGTGTCATATTGGTAATATTTGCCTTGATCTCTTTTGAAAGTGAAAGTGTTAGTCGATTAGTCACGTGCAACTCTTTGCGATCCCATGGACTGTAGCCTGCCAGGCTCCTCTGACCACAGAACTCTTCAGGCAGTACTGGAGAGGGAAATCATTCCCTGCTCCAGGGTATCTTCCTGAACGAGGGATAGAACCCGAGTCTCCTGCATTGCAGGCAGATCTTTTACTGTTTGAACCACCTTTAACATGTTTATTAACCTACTTTTAAAATCTTGGTCTGTCCTGGTCATCTTTCTACTTAAGGGACAACCTGTAATCAAGTGGGTTGTATCCATCTGAATTAGTTGTTCTCTTTACCTGTCTTGTTATTTTGCCCAAGGGTACATAGGTTGGTCTGTTCAACAATGTGTACCAGTGCCATTTAGCTCAGGGGGTGAGGGTCAGGGGTGGATGAGTCCTAAGACTGAGAACCCCAGGCATCAAAACTCCCAAGTCAATCAGACCCAACCCCACAAAATAACTCCTCATGTCAGACATCACCCTTTGCCCCCCACCTCCCATAGGAGAAGCAACCTTAGGGGGAAGTGCCTCTTAGATTGCAATTCATTTGCTTGGGAAGTTGAGGGGATGAGGAGAGGAAACAACTGTCCAAAGTTCAGTTCCCCCTCTTGTTTTTGACTGGCTTCTCATAAGCACAGTGCATCTTCAATGCCCCGTTGTTACCCTTACCAGCACCTGGATCAGTGTTTTTTTTTTGTTGTTTGTTTGTTTTACAGAATTTTATTGGGGAATCATTGACATACAATAATAGGCACATACATTAATTTGTACAGTTTGATAAATTTTGACATTTGTGTACACTCCCTAAACTCACAGCCCAATCAAAATAGTGCATTTATCTATTCATCCACCCTGAAAGTTGTCCACAAAGTGATAGGTAGAAGGATAGATTTTAATGCTCCAGGGCACAAAAAGTTCATTGATAACTTTTTTATTTTTAAATATATTAATTTGATTTTGAAGTATTTGATACTTATAAAAGAATATATGTAATGTTTATGTAAGTTATGAAGCATAAAAGTAGTAACCATGAACCCATCTCTCACTTTAAGAATTATAACATAAAATAGCATTGCATTTTAAAAAATGTTTTTATTGTAGTAAAAGTCACACAAAACATACTAGTTTTTTAAAACAATTATTTATTTATGACTGAGTTGGTCTTAGTTGGGGCTCTCAGGCATCTCTCTAGATGCAATGTGAGGGCTCTGGCACATGTGGGTTCTGTAGTTGCCCCAACGCAGGTAGAATCTTAATTTCTGGACCAGGGATTGAACCCATGTCCCCTGTATTGGAAGGCGATTCTTTTTTTTTTCCCCATTTATTTTTATTAGTTGGAGGCTAATTACTTTACAGTATTGTAGTGGTTTTTGCCATACATTGACATGAATCAGCCATGGGTTTACATGTATTCCCCATCCTGAATCCCCCTCCCACCTCCCTCTCCATCCCATCCCTCTGGGTCTTCCCAGTGCACCAGCCCTGAGCACTTGTCTCATGCATCCAACCTGGACTGGTGATCTGTTTCACACTTGATAATATACATGTTTCGATGTTGTTCTCTCAGATCATCCCACCCTCGTGGAAGGCGGATTCTTAACCACTAGACCACCAGAGAAGTCCTGAAAACATACTATTTTAACTGTATTTAGCCACGCAGTTCAGTGGCACTCAGTACATTCGCATTGTTGTGTAAACCAGCAGTTTGAGTCCTGAAGGCGATGTTACATCACTGTCCTAAGAAATTGCAGAGAAGAGCGATGAAAACCTCAGACACACTCTTTTTTTTTCTCTCATTCCACAGCCATGCCTGGCCACCTCCTGCCATAAAACAAAGCCACCCCTCACTCGCACCAGTTCAGAGTGGGGTCTCCCTCACCCAAGGAGTATCTCACAATTTTCTTCATTTCGTGGTATTTTCTGCTTATAATCCTTCCACAGTTGACCTTGGTGGGGCGGGGCACCAGTCACACTGGTTCAATCAAGTTTAAGGATGTTGAGCACTTGCTCTGTGCTAGGCACTGCTCTAAGCGTTATCACCTGTATTAACTCATTTACTCCTCACAGTCACAGGTTATATTAGCAGCCCCATTTTACAGATGGGAAAACTGAGATATAAAGAAGTTAACTAACAGGACTTCCCTGGTGGTCCAGTGGCTAAGACTCCACGCTCCCAATACAGGGGCTTGGGTTTGATCCCTGGTCAGGGGACTAGATCCCACATGCACAACTAAGAGTTCTCATGCCACAACTAAAGATCCTGCATGTTGCAACTTAAGAAAAAAATCCCACAGGCTTCAAGAAAGATAGAAGTTCCTATGTGTCGCAACTAACATCCGATACAGCCAAATAAATAAATAAAATAAGTTAACTAGTTGTCTAACTGGCAAATTAATCAGGACTCTAACCCAGGACTCTAACTTCTGAGTGGGTCCTTGCGGCAGAGCCTGGCTTGTCCAGTGCCCTCTATGGGGACAGATAAAAGCAGTGTTGGCCAGGGCTTGCCCCATGATGTCTAGCTGATGAGACACTGCCCAGAAGAGAGGAGGGGGGCAGTGAGAAGAACAAGGCATTAACAGCCAGGCCTGTTGTCAGCAGCGTTTGATCCCAGGCAGGAGGCTCTAACTGATCTCTCTCAGGGCAGGACACGGCGCTGGGTGGTCAGAGGCGAAGGGAGGAGGATGTGTGAGTGTGTGTCAGCCCAGCCCAGTCGGGTCCGGTGGTCTCCGTCCTCCCCTGTGCGTTTGTTTAGATTTGACACGTGGTGTAAGCTGATTGGTGTGAACTGTTCTGCGTTTTCCATCTCCTCCTCCTGTTGGCAGCATGTGAGTGGCTGCACCCACTCTGGCTGGGGACCATGCCTCCCTGGAGGCCACAGTCAGGCTGCTGCTTCTTGCCACCTCTTCTTTCCTTTGCTTTGATTGGTCAACACGTATTGAAGGATAAAACCCTGCCATAGGCCCCCTGAAGGGTACTCTCAGGAGTGTGTGTGCGCTCAATGGTGTCTGACTCTGGAATCCCATGGACTGTAGCCCGCCAGGCTCTTCTGTCCATGGGGTTCTCCAGACAAGAATACTGGAGTGGGTTGCTATGCCCTCCAGGGGATCTTCCCAACCCAGGGATCGAACCCCCATCTCTTCCGTTTCCTGGAAGGTGGATTCTTTACCACAGCGTCACCTGGGAAGCCTTAAGGGTATTCTAGGTGGATGAGATTGGAAGCAAATGGCAGTGACTGTGAGGCAGAATGAGGACCATAAGAAAGTGGAACCTCTGATCCAGTTCCTGGGGTCTCATGAGCTGTGGGCATCACTGAGTTTGAGTAATAACAAGGCTAGTGTCAGGTATCTTGACTCTTGCTGCATGTTTCTTCCTGGGAAACCATAGCTCCCCTCTAGTCATTTCTGAAGTGCTGGCCACTTTGTTTTTAGCTGGGGTTGCTTAAAGAGAGTCAGAAATTGATTTGAGGAGCGTCTCCTTCCCCACTGAGGTTTCAGGCAGGCAGGTTCCTCGTCTGAATGTCGCTGACAGGCAGGCTGCCTGGCCCCAGGGAGCTGCTATATGCTTTCTGAGCCACAAATATTTCACTCTGTGGGTACCCAGCGGCTGCCCTTCCCCTCTCCCGTTCCCTTCCACCTCTTTCTCGTTCCTAAACCCACACCTTACAGTCACGTTAGCCCCTGCCACCTTAGTCATCCCTCCCTCCTGGGGGCCCCTCTCCTGCCTGTCTTTTTGGGAAAGCTGAGAAACCAGAGCCCACCCCTAGCTTCCTCTGCCTCAGAACGCAAAGTGAAATTGACAAGTCTTGTTGTTTCCTCTATGCCAGAGATGGCTTGTGGTGCCTAACTAATATTTCATACAAAAGCTGGAGAAGAAAATGTTTACTGTTGAGGATCCTGAGGGTGCTGGGCCCAAGATTTAGAAATGGCAAAATCAGGATTCAGACCTGTGCTTGCCTGCCTCCAAAGCCCACGCCTTTTCTGTGTTTCCAGATCCCCCAGTCCAATTCAGCGTTCTCAGCTTTCTAACTTCAGAGCTTTGTTCCCAAGCAGACTGGACACTTTGCTTTACCTTAGAATTGAAAGCATTTAAAAAAAAATTTAAAGAATAAATAAAAGAGGAGAAAGAAGAAAAAGAAAGGAAAAGACAGCCTTCTAGTTGCCTGTCTTTTGGCGATCATACTTCTTCCCAGAATGATTAGAATAACTTGTTCTTCTATTCAACTGTTTTTTTTTTTTTCTTCCATTTATTTTTATTAGTCGTCAACTGGTTATTTTTAAACCTTTAAACCATAGAACTATATCCTAGGAAATGACTGTGGGGCCTCCAGCATATAAACATGCAGGAGTCATACTGATTGAAGTGGCAGGGGTATGTCCCTTACAGCCGGAAGCCAGTTAAGGAAGCCTTACATATCTGTTGACCCCTGAAAGCTCCTGATTATCTCTCATTTTAGAGATAAGGAACCTGGGGCCCAGACGGGGAAGTGGCTGGCAGTCAGAACTAGTAATGTCCGGCTCTTGTAGCTTCTGGCCTGCAGCTTTCTTTCTTTCTTTCTTTTTTAATAATTTTGATTTGTGTATTTGTTTTTGGTTGCACTGGGTCTTTGTCGCTGGGCAGGCTTTCTCTAGTTGCGACAAGCGGGGCGTACTCTTTGTTGTGGTGGGCTGGTTTCTCGCTGAGGTGGCTTCTCTTGTTGCGGAGCATGGGCTCTAGAGCTCGGGGGCTTCAGTAGTTGCAGCGTGCGGGTTCAGTAGCTGTGGCTCCCCGGCTCTAGAGCACAGGCTCAGGAGTTGTGGCTGTGTTGCTCCAGGGCCTGTGGGGTCCTCTCGGACTGGGGATCGAACCTGTGTCTCCTGAATTGGCAGGCAGACTCCCGTCCTCCACTGCGCCATCAGGGAAGTCCCTGGCCTGTCGCTTTCTAGTGTGGCTGTCTCTGCACCTCGTCCAGGAAGGGAGTGTGAGTAGGGGCAGAGAGAGGAGAGACTGGCCTTCCTCTTCCCTCCTTCCTCGTCACCAACAACCTGGGCTCCCAACACCCTTGGAGGAAGTAGTCAGGGAGAGGACATCTGGGGAACACTGCAGGGTGCTAGCAGGTCACCAGGAGTCAGAAGGAAGATAGAAGGCAGAAGGGGTAGGGGGAGGAGAAAAGAGCCAAAGAGCTGCCATGCCAGCCCGGGATGGGACTGGCCTAGGGTTTGGGCCCCGGCCTTGCTCTAGGATCCCTTGGATTTGTCCTGGTCCCCTTTCCTGCATCAGTATCTTTTAAAATATGTATTTATCTATTTGGCTGTGTGGGGTCTCAGTCATAGCACAGGGCCTCTCTAGCTGTGGCATCAGGCTCAGCAGTTGTGGCCCAGGCCTAGATGCTCCGCAGCACATAGGATCTTAGTTCCCGAGCAGGGATAGAGCCCACATCCCCTGCCTTGCAAGGCAGATTCTTATCCACGGGACCACCTGGGGAGCCCCCTGCATGTTTTCCTTGGAGGCTTCTCTGCTCACCGACGGAGGGAGCGCGTACAGGGAACAAGAGGGGCAGGTAGTGTAGCAGCACCCCGTGGACACGGGGAGCCGGGATTAGCTGGCCCCGCTCTGCCCACGAACAGCCGAAGGTCTCATGGTAGCTCTGAGGTCTCTTGGGCCTCAGGTTCCTCGTCAAACCAGGTGGGATGAGACGATCTCTAAGGGCCCTTTTGACTCTGATGATGTGGTACCTGGAGCCTGTGCTGAGGGAGCCCAGAGAATGGGCAGATGTGGACTCCGGAGCACCAGGTGTTAGGTGCTCTAGAAATCTTGTTTTATAGGAAAGGAAACCGGACCTAGAAAGGCTCTGACTTTTATGCTTCTCTCAGCTTGATTTCTCTTCATCCTCTGAACTATAGAGCTGTAAGATTCAAAGCAAAGCAATTCTGTGCAGTGGATAAGCTTTTTTATCATTGTTTTTCTGAACTTTTTAACTTGCAATTTTTTTTTTTTTACAAAAACAGTACATGCTCATAAAAATTCCCATGAATACAGGAAGTGAAAAAACTAAAAAACTGAAAATTGTTGTCATCCTCCTGTCCTTACCCTTTGAGTCCCCAGGGGTGTCTCCTGTTGACAGTTTGGTGTGTATTCTTCCTGACCTTTCTGATGAACCACAAACATACGTGTCCCCCACTTTATGGGATTATAGTATCAATTATTCAAACATAAGTCTTCCCATGTGGCACAGTGGTAAAGAATCAGCCTGTCAATGCAGGAGACTCTGGTTGAATCCCTGGGTCGGGAAGATCCTGTGGAGTAGGAAATGGCAACCCAGTCCAATATTCTTGCCTGGGAAATTCCATGGACAGAGGAGCCTGGTAGGCTACAGTCTATGGGTTGCAAAGAGTTGGACACAACTGAGCATTCATGCACTGCATTGAAGCATAAGCTTTAGAATCAAACATACCTTTGTTCTAATCCTAGTTTATAGCTCATTAGCTGAATGGCCTTGCTATTTGACTAGTTTTAGTCTCATTCTCCTCATGTACAAAATGGGAGTAATAGTAATATCTACCTTATAGGATTGTAGGGAAGATTTAAGGAAATTTTGTATGAATGACAGTTAACTACAAGTGCCTGATACATAGTAAGCGCTACACATACACACACACACACACACACACAGAGGGCACAGAGTGAGTTACAGGTATAATAAAAATGAGACTCAAATTTTCTGACCTCTAGTCTCATTGACTTTCAGCCAAACTGTCTGCTTCTCACTCTGTCCCTGCTGGGCACAAGTTACATGCTCCATTTTTGTTGAATGAATGAAGCTGTAGGGGGTGAACCTAGGAATCTGAGGTCTGCGGGACTTCCTGGGGAGCCAGCTCTGAGAGATGGAGGGTTTTACCCTGTGGATTGGGAGGGTGTGAGACAGTGCGGGTTGGCCCCACCAGCTGTTGCTCCGGGGCTGCAGGCTGAAGTTGAACCTCAGGGCAGAGCCGAGGCCCCAGAGTGGCTCTCGGCTTAAAGGATCTTGGCTTAAAAGGAATGTGCAGTGGGCTGCCTCTGCTCAGGAGGGGCTAAAAAAAGCCTGGCCCTCCCCTGGGCTTTGTGTGAGGGTTATCAGCTGTTCAAGTCAGCTCATCTCTCTGGCTGGACTCTGGCATTTTTGAGAGGCTCTGTTTCCCTGGCCCCTCTGGGTGTCCACCAGTTGACAGGAAGGGGTCAGCCTCCCTGTCCCCGAGGTGGAGGCCGTGGGGCATGTGAGGTGTGGGGGGAAGGGCCGGGGGAGGGGGCTGGTGGCCCCAAACCTGGTGACAATGCACAGTTGTCAGCTGTACCCTGCTGGTGTTTCTTCCTTTTATAGTCAGCAGCAGTTGCTCTCGCTCTCACCCAGTCCCTCTCTGGGGGCTCCTGCCCAGGATAAAAGGGGCAGGAGGCGGCCCAGGCTCCCATCTCATTTCCCTGGTGCTCCACGTCTCTTGATTCCTTCCTAGGTCCTACCTCCTTGGAAGAGCCCAACAGGACAACATGCCTCCCAAGAAGCCTGAGCCTAAGAAGGAGGTGGCCAAGCCAGCCACAGCCCCAGCCCCGTCTCCTGCCCCACCTCCTGAGCCCCTCAAGGAACCTGCCTTTGACCCCAAGAGCGTAAAGGTGAGTGAGCCTTAGCCACTGGGATGGGGGTGGGCTGACATTCAGGGTTCTCTTGGCCCTGGAGCTCAGCGATCTGCTTCATGGAGGTGGGACCGGGGTGAGGGCTGAGGTGTCCGCGCCCCGATCCTAGTCCCAGGGGTGATGGAGAAGGTGCTGGGGAGCGCTCTTTTGGTTGGTAGGCTGTTCTTTTGCCTCAAGAACAGCTTTCTGCCCTGACTGAGGAAGGCCTGCTCTGTTATCCAACATTTGCTCAGTAAAGTCAGAAATGGCAGGAGGCGCAACCACCCAACCACCCAAACTATTTTTCAGGCACCATAGTGAAGCAAAAAGACTGTGATATCTTTAAGAGAAAAGATGCAGAATAATCTCTTCCGGTTTACTGCACAGTAGATGATGTCAGTAGCGAGGGAGCATGATCTCTGTGTGCTGGGGTCAGGGAAAGGCTTCACTTGCAAAGACCCTTGCAGTGGATGGGTGGTGGGGGGCAAGGAGACCCTAGGTAAGGTGAGAAGAGCCAGCTTGCTTCTCCTTTTCCCTACCCAGGTGAGCCCCTCCTGTGTGGGTTCTAGAATCATTCAGTGTTTCTCTTTCTCCCTCACTTGGAGCCCTCACTTCACAAGAGGTGTTGAGAGTTCTGGAGGTTGCATTGTTTGACAGGCCATCAGTTATGGCCCAGCGGTCAGGGGGCTGGTGTGCGGCTCTCAGCCCATGTTGTCGCCTTTCCTCCTCATCTGCGCCCTTACCCTGGGCTCCTGCTTGGAGTAGGCAGTGGTCTGGCCCATCCTAGTCTGAGACCCTCTGTCTCAGCAGGTGTGGGGGCTGGGTCAGGCTTCCTTGGCTGCCCCAGCCCTGTTCCCTCTCTGCCCGCCCTGCTCGCCTCACGCCTCCAAGGAAGGCTCCTCTCCTTGGAGCTGGTGTAGACCCTGCCTGCTGATTCAGTCATTTTAGGCCTCTCAGTTATCTGGCCCAGCTGCTTAAGGGATGGAACTGGGAGGGGATGGGCCACGGAAGGAGGGGGTCAGAGCCCCCTGGAGACTGAAGCAGTTTTAAGCGTTGGCACCAGAATGTAAAAGGTCAAGTGGCTACTGGTATGAAAAGCTATTAATAACTGGTTGGGAATGGTGGGCCCTTGGGGATCTCAGCCTCAGGGCAGAGCTGGGGGGTTGGTGAGGAATCAGATCAACATTACAGCTCAGGGCCTGTTTCTGTAACAAAGAGGCCAGGAAACTAGCCCCCAGAACTCTAACTGGATGACCCTTCTTGGCTCTGCCAGGGTTCTTCCTAGTGCCCACAGCCCTGGGGGACCTGCCACCGTGCCCAGAATTGTAGGGTTAACTTATGGTCATTCCAGCAAGGAAGGAGTTAAGCAGAACTGGCTTGGCCAAGAGATGGAGGCCGTTGCCCCACCCCTGGGCTTGGTTATGTGACACTCTGGGGAAACTGAGGCAAAGGAAAAGACTTTGAAACTCCCTGAAGCTTTTCTAGGTCATATACCACTCCCTCTATAAGCAGAGCCTAGCAAGAAAAGCTGACTATCTCCCCCTTTAGGAAACCTGTATTTCTGATTAGTTCTGATAATGTACTGTTCCTGTGGGTCAACCTAGTCTGGACAAGAACTGCCTGCTGGTATCAACGGAGTGCCTTCTCTTTGGCCTATCACTTCACCCCCATCACCCACCTTCCCCAATTTCATACCTCTGGTTGCAATTGTCTTCTCCATGTCTGGGTCTTCCAGTTCTAGGAGTTGTTGAAGTTGCTTTAAAGTGGAAAAAAAATTAGGTATCTTTCTGAGGGTCATTTTCCCTCTTATACTTACCCAGTTCCTTTGCTTAGAAGCTTCTTTGCTCAAAGACAGAGCAAAAGTACAAATGAAAATAAACCAGACAAAGACAAATACTGCATGGTAGCACATGCCTGTGGAATTTAAATAAAAATAAAAAGTCAAACTGGAGAAACAGAGAGTAGAAAAGTTGTTGCCAGGGGCCAGTCTGAGGATCTAATGTAAAAATGGTGACGACGATCAGTAATACCGTATTGTATAATTGAAATTTGCTAACAGAGTAGGGGGCTTCCCAGGCGGCACAAGTGGTAAAGAACCTACCTGCCAACGCAGGGGACATGAGAGACCCTGGTTTGATCCCTGGGTTGGGAAGATCCCCTGGAGAAGGGAAAGGCAACCCACCCCAGTGTTCAAGCCTGGAAAATCTCATAGACAGAGGAGTTCATGGGATCACAAAGAGTCAGACATGACTGAAGTGACTTAGCACAGCACAATAGAACCTAAGTGCTCTCACAAAAATAAAATAGCAAATAAATAAATAAGGTGACACATGTATCAGTTAACACACCGGAGGAATCCTTTCACAATGTATTCATATATTAAATCATCACAATGTACACTTTCAAAATCTTACAATTTTGTCAATTATACCTCAATAAAGTAGAAAAAATTTTTTAAAAAGATAAAGTAAAAGTAAACTTCAGTTCAATGTGTGTGGTTATGACTATATATTCTGATGTTATGTTTTTATATTAATATCTCTTACATGTTTACTCCTGGGACTTAAAGCATTGCAAAGTAAGGCAAGTGGCACCGTTCCTCAGAGGGTTCACTCAAGGCATCTTTTGCCCTGTTTAGGGGGTTTCTTTAGCTTTCTGGCCACCATCACCTACACCTCTGGCAAAGTCCATCCTGGGCATAGCCACTTCCTTTCCCAACACAGTGTAACCCCTCTCCTGCTCTCCTGACTCATTCTGGCCACCTTCAGGGGTGTTCATTAATGAGGTCAGCTTCGGATGGGCACAGAGCAGCAGAACCAGAACTAGGAAGAAGAAGAAGATGCTCCAGGATTGGTTTCCACCACCAGTGGAGAGCGGATTTGAGGGGGTGGTGGTGATGCTGGATAAAGACCATGAAGTAACACACAAGATGCTAAATTAAAATGATGACTCATGCTTGTTCATTGTCATTCATCTTCAGAGCTTTCCACCTTCTTCTTTTGTACTCAGATTTGAATTTAGGGGAAGAAAATCCAAAATTTACTCCTTCTTGCAACAAATAATTTTTGAGTACCTACTCTGTGTCAGGCTTTTTCTTTCAAATTCCCTGTTCTGTGGGGACCCTGGTTTTAAGGAGCCGCGGTACACAAAAAGGCATGAGTGGAAAACAGGAAGCATCCAGGGCTCGCCCACTCTAGGCTCCCTGCCCCAGGGTGCCTGGGAGGGATGTGTGCTGAAGGAGGGGCTGGAGTGGAAGGGGGTGAGGGAAGGCTTCGTTGAAGGCAGTAGATTGAAAGTTAGTGTCAAGTAGAAAGGGGAGAAACCATTTACAGCTGCTAGGACGGAATTTACATTTGACCCAAAGGAATTATAATAGGGAGTTGTGTGGGCTCTGGAGTTATTCAGAGCACTTCTCTTTCCCTCTCACTTGGAGCCATCACTTCACAAGTGGTGTTGAGAGAGTTTTGGAGGCTGCAGTATTTGATGGGCTGTCAGCTGTGGCTTGGTCGTCAGGAGGCCAGTGTTTGACTCTCAGCCCATAATCTTCTTCCCCCCTCATCTGTGTCTGCGGCGGGTGACCCAGCAGCCCCGGAAGCCGTTTCTGCTTCTCATTGGAAGCCGTTAGCAGTCCCAGGCCTGACTCCTCTGTGTTTCTCTCCACAGATAGACTTCACTGCTGACCAGGTAGAAGGTGAGTACTGATAACTCCAGCACCGCGCCCCACCGCCCCCCCCCCCAACACACACACCCTCTCTGCTGTGCCTCCTGGGGAAGGGTTTGTCATGATCACCGTGGGTAATCATCACTGTCGCTGCCATCACCACCACCATCATCATCATCACCACCATCACCACCATCACCATCATTTCATCACCATCACCAGTGCAAACCTGTATTTGAGTCAGGGTACACAAAAGCATGACTGAAAAAGTTATTCAAAATAGCAAGTATTAAAAAAAAAAACCAAAATAGCAAGTATAGGGGATTCCCTGGTGGCCTAATGGTTAGGCTTCTGGGCTTTCACTGTCAGGGTTCAATCCCTTCTCAGGGAACTGAGATCCTCAGTGTGGCCGAAAAAACAATCCAAAAAACACCGCCACCACAAACAAACAAACAAAAAGAAATAGCAAGTATGGGTTTGCTCTTTGTTGACTGTTATTACTTAAGCACTGTACCTGGATTAATTTATTTCTCACCACAACCCTATGAGGTAGGGTAGGGACCGTCACCACCCCACTTTACAGGTGGTAAAACTGAGGCACAAAGAGGTTGGGTGGTCTACTCAGTCTCTCACAGATAGGTGGTGGTGGAGCCAGGATTCCAGCCAAGGCAATCTGATTCCAGGCTTGGTTCTGAACAGCTCTGCCAGACGGCCTGGAACATAACAGATGCACAGCAAAAAATTTTTTTTTTCTGTTCTCTACCTTAAATTCTAAGATATTTAAAAGCCATCATTTCTGTTGCTGTTATTGAAAAGCCCTACTTGGGCTACCAGCTCTCTCCCTCCTCATCATGAAGTCTGACAAGACGCTCAGCCCCCTAGCGGTGGCAGGGCCAACGGTCTCTTGCGGGTACCCTAGTCCACCTGTGGTCTCCATCAGCTCTTCTCTATCTTTGATGAAGGCAATTTATTTTCTCAATGTTATGTAGATATTATTAAGTGTAGCTTCTAGACAAGCCCCTCAGCCCTTCTTTTGTAGGATTCTGGTGTTTTGAGAATGAAATGTTTCATCTTGTGATATCTACTTTAGAGCCTCACCCTCACTGCAATTTATCCCTCTGTTTCCCTCATCAAATCACTCTTGAACAGGAAATCATACAAACTGGAAGGGACCTTGAAAGGTCACCCGATTAAACCCCTTAATTTTAAGCACAGGCTATATTTGAAAAATTAAACTAACACAAGCACATGATAAAAATTAGTATACTACTTAAAAATAAGTAATGAAAATAAAAATATTTTCCCCTTGCTTTCCTTTCATGCTGATCTGCTTTCCCCAAAACAATCATTGTTAACAGGTCTATGTATCCTTTGATAAAAATATATCATGTTACACCAGTATGTATGTGTAAAATTTACACAGATTGAGTCCTATGGTGCATACTGTCCTGCATCTTTCATTTAGTATACACTTGGGTTCAACAATATATAACATAGTATATATTATTTAATTATCTATTTAAATATCTATTTTATATTGAACACAAAAACAGTTCTACCTCATTATTTTAAACCGTTGTATAGATTCTCACACATGGATGTACCTTTTAATCCAATTAGCTCATATTGCTAGACCTTCAGATTATCCCCAGCTGGGGGAAAAATCATCATGCTTTCCCCAGGAGGCTTTCCTAGCAATGAGTCAAAGAATATGTGCATTTTATTTTTTTTTATTTTTAAAAATTAATTAATTAGTCTGCCTCAGGTCTCTGGGGCTCGCAGAGTCTTTGCCATGTGATGCAGGATCTTAAGTGATAGCTCACAGACTCTCTAGTTGTAGAGAGTGGGCTTAGCTGCATATGGGATCTTGGGGCTTCCCAGGTGGCGCTAGTGGTAAAGAACCTGCCTGCCAATGCAAGAGACATAAGAGATGCTGGTTTGATCCCTGGGTTGGGAAGATTCCCCTGGAGAAGGAAATGGCAACTCACTCCAGTATTCTTGCCTGGAGAATCCCGTGGACAGGGAGCCTGGTGGGCTGCAGTCCACGGGATCGCAGTCGGACACAACTGAGTGACTAAGCACATACATATGGGATCTTAGTTTCCTGACCAGGGATGGAGCCGTCTTCCTGTATTGCAAGGCAGATTCTTAACCACTGGACCACCAGGGAGGTGTCAAGTCTACGTGCATTTAAAATTGTAATAGTTACTGTCAAGTTTCTCCTCCCAAAAAGCCAGTGACTCACAAAAAGGGCATGATGATGGCAGATGTATTTTGAATCTAGTGAATTAAATCTGACTCCATTTTTGCATTATTCTGTTGACACCCACTTTCTGTCAATAGTCTGGAGTGCTATGAAATTCTTAAAATTAATTTTAATTTTAATTAATTTTAATGCATTTTAGTTACATATATTGACTTCCCAGGTGACTCAGTGGTAAAGAATCTGCCTGCCAATGTAGGAGACTCGGGTTTGATCCCTGGGTCAGGAAGTTCCCCTGGAAATGGAAATGGCATCCCACTCCAGTATTCTTGCCTGGGAAATCTCATAAACAGAGGAGTCTGGCAGGCTACAGTTCATGGGGTTGCAAAAGAGTCAGAAATGGCTTAGCAACTAAACAATAATAACAAGTTAAATTTATACTCATTGTATATATAAACACAGTGGTACCCAGGAAAACTAGAAAATCAATGATAAAAATTTTTCATTTCCCAAGTGAGAATCCTGGTCAAAGCCAACTGGGACAGCTGGCTGCCTCTTTTCTCCGAGAAGATTTTCAGGGCTGGGACTTAACTGACCCCAGGCTTTCATCCCTCTGACTTTGAAGGCATTGTTCCTTAGGTTGGATTTGAATTGTTTCAGTTTTGATTTTGTTCCCATCTCTTCCTTTGCTCCTTGGTGAACCTGAAGATGATTTTCTTCTGTTTTGCTGGAAAGAACATGATTTGGAACCAGGAGACTTGGCTATTAGCCCTAAATCTGCCGCTGGTGTCCATGAGACTTAGTGCAAGTCACTTTTTAAAACCTGAATTCTCTCCTCTGCAAACTAAAGGTATTCGATTCTCTTCAATTCAGAAATTCTGTGATTCTTTTCATCATTCTCTAGATAACCTCCATCTATTTGAGGATAGTCATCAAATCCTTTCTTAGCTTCGTAATCTCCAGGTGATACAGCCCCAATTTCTTTTATTTATTTATTTATTTATTTATTTATTCTTATAGGAGCTAGTTTCTAAGTCCTGACTTCCTTCTCTGGTCTCTCTGCAGATTTCCATATCCCCTTGGAAAGGGATCATCAGCATTGCTCATTGCTCTAGCAGGCAGCTCACTACTACTATAGAACTTTGAGAAAAAGTTTCTTCAAAGACCAAGAGTGTCATCTCTCATATTCCTCGAGATCACTGGGCTAGTTTTCCCCCTAGTTGCAATCCTAGATTTCAGTGTCAGGTTTTTATGTGTGCAGCAGCCTTCTCTGCAGGCAGGAACATTCACTGGGACAACAGGCCACTTCCTCCTCATCCTCTCTCCTCACTTGTTTTCCTTAATAGTCGGCTGAAGTCACATCTGCAGTGGCCTACAAATGAGGATAATAATACCTATAGTATAAAGGTTTTGTAAATATAGATGGGGTAATTCATGCAAAGTTATCAACTCAGAGGCTGGCCCACGATAAGTGCTCGAACCATAGGTCATCATTCTTATTATTTTCCTCTTGTTCAATCTTCCTGTTAAATATCATTCTTTTATGTGCAGATTGCGTCTTTAAGTTTGCCCTCACTCTTCTGAATGAATTAGAAGATCGAAAAGCCTGAGTGCAGATTCAACTACCATATTTATCGGACAATGAATTTGTGCCAGAAGCCATGTTAATAGCTATACATGTTAAGAATTAAATTCTTCTAACAAAGCTGTGAGGTTGGTGCTATTCCTTTTGACAGAGGAGGAACCAAGGTTCAGTGAGGTTATGTGGCTTGGCTAAGATCACACAGTTAAGTGTTAAAATTAGGATTGAAGTCAGTGAGAGATTACTAACAGTATTGTGGGGAACTGACAGAGTTAAGATTTTTTACACGCGCTATTGTATTTTATTTGAATGTAATTTAAGGATCCTATGAGGCAGGTGCCATTTATAAAAGAAGAGGTTTATAGAGGTTAAATATTTACTTGCCCGAGGTCACATAGCAAGTAAGCAACGGAAATGGAATTTGAGCTCAATTATTTAGTAATTTGAAAGACATGCGGTTTTATCTCTTTGCAATTCATACAAAGTCTAATAAAGAGCTGCATGTAAACGTCTTGGGGAACCTGTTTTGATATGTGGAATGATTTGTAAATAATCCATATGCCGCCTGTGAGGAAGTAAGTGTTTCTAAAGTACTTAGAGAAGATTAAAAACAGCTTTTCTCCTAAGTAGTCCACACATTCTTCTTAGGTTTATATTGTTAATCCACTTTGTAAACCGCTTCTTCATGGGTAGCACAAGGGTACTTCAATGCCATACCCAGTCCAAATTATCCCCGGTAATGAGCTGGTTGAACCCAAATTGATGAGGAATTAAGGTTGTTTGCAAAGGGCCCAGGAGTGCCTTCATTCAGCCTGGCGCCTTAGGCTCTTGCACTAGTATCTTCTGCGAATCTGGCTTCAGAACTAGTAATATAATAATAACCGCTTGCCTTCTTCCCTGGTGGCACTGGTGGTAAAGAATCCACCTGCCAATGCAGGAGATGCAGGAGACGTGGGCTTGATCCTTGGATTGGGAAGATCCCCCAGAGAAGGGCATGGCAACCCACTCCAGTATTCTTGACTGGGAAATCCCATAGACAGAGGAGACTGATGGCCGACAGTCCATGCGGTTGCCAAGAACTGAATGTGATTGACTTCACACGCATGCGTGTGTGTGCGCGCACACACACACTGTTAGCCAAGTCCCTTACCGCGTGCTAAACACCACGCGTGGAGGGCTTAGTCATCCCCCCGCAGCCCCAACAGGTGCACACTGTCATTCCACCTTAGAGCTGAGAGACAGAGGGCCCACGGAAGTTAGGAGCTTGCCCGAGGCCACCTGGGGGTCAGTGGCAGAGCTGGGGTGGGTTGACTGTCCACCCTTGTCGCCTTGTCCAGGCTGAGAGCTCGCTTTCAGCCTGGGACAGGCCGTACTGTTATTGGCTGACTTCTGAACGGGTCTTATCACTTTGCAGAGTGTCTCCACACACTGCCCCCTCCTTTGGCACTCAACTGGGAGGGTCAGGTGAGGACTGACTCTTGGTGTGTTTGCTTAAGGAGACTGAGACCCAGCCCAGCTTATTCTACCTTGATTGGCAGAGCCAGGAGGAGAACCCAGGAGTCCTGACTCCTGAGCCAGTGCTTTTGACTTCCCTGGAAAGATGAGTGGATGGGAAGGGCAGAGGCAGGGGAGACGTCAAATGATGTGACAAGTGGTTGCTGGAACAGGTCATGGGGGCTCCAGGATACTTCTTTAGTTGTCAGAAGATGGGGTGGGCATGGGTTCCAGGGAGGGGCTGGCATGCTGGCTGTAGGGAAATATTTTATCAACTCCATTGACCTGCTTTTCAACGAGGGTAGAAGCTGATCAGCCCCTAGTTACTGCCTTCGCTTGGCCCCAGGGGGCTGCAGTCAGTCTTTTCTCTGCAGAGTTCAAAGAGGCCTTTTCGTTGTTTGACCGGACCCCGACTGGAGAGCTGAAGATCACCTATGGGCAGTGTGGGGACGTGCTGCGAGCCCTGGGCCAGAACCCCACCAACGCCGAGGTGCTGCGTGTCCTGGGCAAGCCCAAGCCAGAAGGTCAGCCTCCCCTCCCTACCCCTGGGGCTCTCTCCTTTCAAGGCCAACCTGCTCTCCCCAGGTAACCTGCCTCCCATTGCTAGAATTACCTGGAAACATCTGGCACTTGGTCAGTCCTCAGAAGAGTGTGACCTGGGCTTGTTCTCATTTTCTCCTTGAGTGTGGGAACTCCTGGGGAGCAGGCGCGACTTTCTACCGCTTCAGTGTCTTCCTCTGATGCACAGGGTGCCTGGGACATGGGGCAGAGGGGCTGGCAGGAAAACTGGGAACTGACCATCGCCCCCACCTCCTCCAGAAATTGTGGGTGAGGGGTTACAGCACAGCGATGTCCTGTGACCACCCTGAGTTGTATCACGGATAATGTGTTTCTGATAATACAGCACTGAGATTGCAAATTATTCATTTAATGTAAATTAGAGCAGATGCAGGCTCAGCTCTATAATGATGCCTGTTTCACTGGTTTGCATTAGATAGGTTTTGGTGAATGGGGGTTTAGAAAGTGGTGCAAGGGGTCCCATTTGTGAATGTCATCTGTCACTGTGGCAGTCAGGCTAACAGCTGCCCTAACACATGAGTCCTTCTGAGGGGCCAGGGCTGGGCAGACCTGGGCAGGAGCCCTTAGCCAGGGTGGATCATTTCTAGAGATTTCCTGGGCCCAAATTGGGGCCTTCCTGCCCTCTTCCTTGGTTCTGGGTCCTTCCCCTCCTACTCTTGCTGGAGAAGACACCAACAATGGTGAAGGATGTGGCTCAGAAGGGACCAGAGGACCAGGAGCCTGCCTGTGTCAGTAGGGATTCTCAGAGGGCAAAAGATATTTGGGTCTTTCCATTGTGAGCAGTTTCTGGGTTATAAAGGAAAGCAATGCCAGCCTTGGGATACTTAAAAATGGTTTTACCTCTATGAAAGTAAATTTTTTTTTTAAACTTTGGTAAATATTCAAGAGTTTTTATTCCAGGTTTCTCATCTTTTTCTTACGGTGTAGTAGGAATTCTTTAAATAATTATCTATTGTAATCTGTAGTTTAATAACAAAAATTATCTTTTGCCAATTTCTTCTTGCAGTTTATATCTTGTCAAAAACACAAAAGTAAATTAAAGCTTTTAACACACAACAGTGTGGGAGAAAGGTGCTAATCATTATTGATTCAGACTTGCTACAGGTGGTGGGGACTAGTGAGGGGACTCAAATTTGGAGTTGTGCAAAGTTTTCTTTTTGCAGTCTTGTCAGTTTACCCATGAGACTGGGAGTTTGTCACGTGTCCGAAGCCTAAGTTGTGAACGTGAGAACTTGGAGCCCCTCAGATCCTGCTGCTGCCCCCTCACCTCCCTGCCCCCCTGGCTGCCTGGAGTTCAGAGGTCAGGGTGGAATCACAGGTCCCGGGTCATTTCACTGAGAAGAGTGCCCAGAGCCAGCTCCTGCCGGGCTCCTGGGGCTTCGTGCCCTCCAGGATTCCAGACTGGGGGCCCCACCCAGAAGTGATGGCAGCTGAGCTCTGGGCTAGCCTGGCAGAGCCCGATGACACCTCTCCCGAGCCTCTGCTCCCCTCGAGCTCATGTCGAATTCCTTTCCTTGCTGGTCCCACTGGAAGAGATGAATTCCAAGATGCTGGACTTTGAGACCTTCCTGCCCATCCTGCAGCACATCTCCCGAAACAAGGAGCAGGGCACCTATGAGGACTTCGTGGAGGGGCTGCGCGTGTTCGACAAGGAGAGCAACGGCACAGTCATGGGCGCCGAGCTTCGCCACGTCCTTGCTACCCTGGGTACGTATGCCAGCCAGGCAGGGGTGGAGCCCAAGGGAGAGGAACAGAGGATGAGAAGCGTCTGAGCAGCATATATTGGGGAGACGTGGGGCTCCCTGTGTCCTGAGTCTCACGTTCTGGTCCAAGCCCGTATTCCTGGGTTCTGTAGGTACCATTGTCCCCAGCTGGGTTTGCTCAGCAGGGTTGGAAGGAGATGAGAGCAGGCTGGGAGAGCAGGGGTGAGGCCTGAGAGGTGGGATCCAGGGCCCCTGTCCTTGTCTTTGCCTCTGTTGCTAGGGCCTTGGTCTGCTTACCCACTGATGGCTGTAGGCAGAGGGAGAGACCTTGGGGGCTAGGAAGGGTCTAAAGACCTTGACTCCACCTTCCAAAGCCTTGGGGAAGATTTTGTTTGACCACTTCCTTGATCCAGGAAGTCCTGGGCCATCAGACTCAAGGGGGTGCTTGGGTTTGGCCAGTCGTCCTTTGCCCATCTGTCATTAAGTGCCCACTGTCTCCCACCCTAGGAGAAAAGATGAGTGAGGCTGAAGTGGAGCAGCTGTTGGCAGGTCAGGAGGATGCCAATGGCTGCATCAACTACGAAGGTATCAGCTCATTCTGTACTTCCTTGGGCAGCCAGGGATGTGGTGGATTGGGGTGGGGTGGGTACAGTTCAGGCCAGGAGGGGCTGCAGAACAGAACAGAAGCAGGAGCTAGAGGATATGTGTACCCCATGGTCTTTGGTGAGCTCCCAGTTGATATTGTTCTTTTTCCTCCTGGGAGTGAACATCACTGCGTAATGGAAGGAGCATGGATTTTGGAGATAGCTCTGTGATATACCAGCTGGGTGATCTTAAGCAAGTTGATTACCTTCTCTTAACATTGGTTTTCTCATCTGAACAACGGGGTGATGCTGGACCCTTTCCCAGGATTGCAGGGATTGGCAGAGATAACGTAGCTCATTTCATCCATGTCTGGTATCAGCACAGAGAGTGTACACAGAGCAGTGATTAGTTCCCTTCCTTTCTTCCACCTTCTCCCCATCAACCCCAAACGGGAAAAGGAATCATAATGAAGAAAGGGTGGTGGGAAGGTTTGCAGTCAGGTGGTATAGACCAGGGAGGAGGGGTTTAAGGGGTTGAGAGGGGCCAGGTGACGTGGCTGTTTTCCGTCTTCTTTCCCAGCCTTTGTCAAGCACATCATGTCTGGGTGAAGCAGATCCCTCCAGGGTGAGTGCAGCCCACCCCCCCGGGCGGGGGGGGGGGGACCCACAGCCACACCACGTGCCCTAGAGCCCTTCGAGGACACTGCAGGAGACCAGAGCAGTCCGGCCCCACCCATCGCCCCTGCATTCTTAGTGCTCCTGTCACCTCCCCTTCATCCCTCCCTGCCCTGCCCCCAGCCTCCTTGGTCTTTGCACCCAATCTTGACCCACCAGTCACATCCTCCTGCCTTTTCCGGGATCTCTCAAGGCCAGATGAATCGCTCAGGTGGGGCTTCCTCTGTAGGCTTCTGGCTGTGAGGAGCCAGGTTGCAGGTGAAAGAGAACGTCCCGGGCCTATGCCCTTGGCCCTGTTCCTCTTCACCGCCTTCCCTGAGCCCCTCCGGCCTTGGTGCTGGCTGCTGGGGGTGGGGCCATCATCAGGAGCTGGAGTGTGGAGGGGGAGGTAGAACCCTTTCCATCTCACGCTCTCTTTCAGGTGCCTGGCCCGGGGCCTTAGCCCAGGTGAGTTACCAAGAGGCCCAGAGTGACTGAGCCGGAGCTGGAGTCCTGGCCTTTCCCTGCATGGCAGCCCTGGGGACTCCAAGGGCCCACAGTCCTTGCCATAAATAAACAGCTTCAGCAAGGCCGGGCCGAGGTCCCAACCAGCCTCTGAGTTGTTTATTAAAGCCAATTAATTCGTTGAGTTGGGTTTTTGTGAGTGTGTGTGATAATGTCACCTGAGGCCTCTTGCATATTCCTCAGAAGAATAAGCAGTATCTTGGAGCTGGGGAACATGGGCCAGGGCCCAGGGAGCTAGAAACAGGAGGGTCAGATCGTGAGCACAGAGTTTTGGAAGGGTCTGCAGTCTGAGGAGCTATGATCAGGAGGAGCTTCATTTCCTTCCTAAGCTCACTCTCTACCTTAGCTCTGTCCAGGTGACAAGCAGAAAGAGGGCCACCAGGAGCCCGGGGGATACCGAGGGATCCTCAAATGGTCCTTGCTCCCTCCTCTTCTTTAAAAAAAATTGTGGTAAAACTCACATAACATATGGGATTTCCCGAGTGGCTCAGATGGTAAAGAATCTGCCTGCAATAGAGGAGACCCAGATTCAATCCCTGAGTTGGGAAGATCCCCTGGAGAAGGAAATGGCAACCGACTCCAGTATTCTTGCAGCACATAATACAAAAATTTCCATCTTAACGATTTTTAAGTTTTCAGTTCTGTAGTATTGTGTGTTCACATTGGTGTGTAGCAAGTCTCCAGAACTTTTTCATCTCATAAAATTGAAACTCTCTATCCATTAAACAATAAATCCCCATTTCCCCCTCTCTCCAGTCCCTGACAACCACCATTCTACTTCCTGTATCTATGACTTTGACTACTCTAGGTAGTTCATATGAGCGGAGTCACAGTGTGTTTGTCTTTTTGTGACTGGTTTATTTCACTTCGCGTACTGTCTTCAAGTTAATTTGTGTTGCAGTAAGTGTCAGAATTCCCTTCTTTTTTAAGGAGGAATAGTGTTCCGCTGTATGTGTGCAGGTAGCACATTTTGTTTATGGTTCTTGTAACTTTTTTTTTTTATCACCCCACATGGCATGTGGGATCCTGGTTCCCTGCCTGGGGATCGAACTTGCACCTGCCCCCTGCATTGGAAACTCAGAGTCTTAACCATTGGACCACCAGGGAAGTCCCAGTCCTTGCATCTTCATATGGGCCCTTTAGGTGTCTCTGCCCCTGAGAGCAAGGCCCCTGATGCCTGATTCAGCCCTGCTTGTTCTGGGCATCTCACTGACTCCCTGGCCACACCCAGGACTCCATACAGGACTCTGCATCAGGGCTTCAGAGGGAGCACAGACCTCAGGCCGGGCAGGCAGGGGTGTGGCGGGAGGCAACTGGGAAGAGGAGAGACGAGAAACCAGAGATTGAGCAGAAGGGGACAGACCAGATCATGAAACTAAAGACACCCATATGAGCAGGACCCCTCTGGATGGGAGTCCCCACATCCTTGAGAGCCCCCCAAGGTGGATTAGAACCTCCTTCTCACAGCCTTTCTGCTGCCCTCTCAAGGCATCCAACTGCAGAACTTTGTGAAACATCCTTTATAGATCCAGCCAAGGCTGAGATTCCATGAGCCCAAAAGGGAAGTTGTCATGGGAAGCTGAGAACCATGAGCCCAAACTCAGCCTTCTCAGAATTTAAAGTCTGGTTGGGAAGATGAGACCAAGGCCCATGTATACATTTTCTTCTGTGAGGAAGGGGCTCCAGTGATGGGAGAGACCTGTTGAATCATAAAACTTGAGAGCTTTATGTAGTTGTGATAGGGGTCATTGACTCCAGTGGTTTTCAAACATGGTTGTAGCTCTATAGCCTTTTAAAAAATTGTTTATTTATTTGGCTGTGCTGGGTCGTGGTTGTGGCTATTACCATTTGTGGGCTCTTAGCTGCAGCATACAGGATCTAGTTCTCAGACCAGGGATTGAACCCAGGCCCCCTACACTGGGAGCAGAGTCTTAAACCACTGAACCACCAGGGAAGTCTTGGCTGCATAGCCTTTTACTCAAACTAAATTCTGTGTAGAAGCCAATGCATGAACTGAAGGGAGCAGGGATTCTCCAGCTGAGGAGTGAGGGATGGATGCCTGTATCTTGAGCCGCTGCCTGGGCTCCTTAGAGCACAACCAGAAGACCACTGACTGAGTCAGACCAGCTAATTATAAAAGTAAGGAAATGGCTCCTTAGGGGAGACTTGACTCACCCAAGGTCACAGCTAATGACCCATGAACCCAGGTCCCCAGAATCCCACATTTTCCCATTTTTCGACACACATCAATCTGCCTTTGAAATTTTTTTCAAGTTAGGCTCTTGGGAGCTTCTCTCGTATTATCCCTACCATTCTGCTTGATCATTTTTGGCCTTACTTATTTCTCCTTTTAATTTTTGTTTATTTTATTGCCAGATAATTTCAGATTCCCAACCAGGGATTGAACCTGGGCCATGGGAGTGAGAGCCTGGAATCCTAGCCTCTAGACCACCAGGGAACACCCCATTATTTCTCCTTTTCAATTAATTAATGAAGATTTTTATGTGGACCATTTTTAAAGTCTTTATTGAATTTGTTACAATACTGCTTCTGTTTTGTTTTGGCTTTTTGGCCATGAGACATGTGGGATTTTAGCTCCCGAACCAGGGATCAAACCCACACGCCCTGCATTGGAAGGTGAAGTCTTAACCACTGGACTGCCAGGGAAGTTCCTGTTTCTCCTTTTGAAGAGTCACCCTCCCCGACTTGAAATGCCAGCATTCCTCAGCGTTGGGGCCTTGTCAGGTTTTCCTCACTCCCTTTTCCTTTCTTCCCTTCCACCTTCCCTCCCTCCCTTTCTTTCTCCATGAAGTATTTTTGTCCACTGTAAACATGTAGGGGGAAATGGGGCCAAGCTCCCAATGAGTAAAAACTGAAAGTGTTTTCCCCTCCAAAGTCGATTACCAGTTAAGTCCAGTTAAGCAAGGACATAAGCATCCAGGTACTAACCACAGAATGATCACCTCACAGCACAGCATCAGCAGGACGACTTCTTCCATGCCACACGCAGTGTAATTTCCAAGGGCCCTGCACCAAGAGGAAGTGAGATGTGACTGGGATGATCTTTCTTAATGGGCTTTAAGTGAGACCTTAGTGGAAAGATGACACAAGGCTGGTCCTCAGGTTCAGGAAGGAAAAGGGCAGGAAAGGGGGTCACAGACTTACCTGACGGACGCTCACTGAGGGCCGGCCATGTGTGTGGCACTGGCTTGGGCCTTGAGGAGACACTGGAGTGGGCAGACACAGTCCCTGCCCTCATGGAGCTTACAGTCCAGTGGGAAGACAGACATTAAACAGTGTGATCATGTGACAGATAACAGCCAACACTTACTGAATGCAATATCAGTTATGATTATCTTTGGCTGTGGGTTAGGGAGACTAAAAGACTGGCTTAAAAGACACGAAAGTATGTTTTCACCTCCCACTGAAGTCCGGGGGTTGGCTGTCCAGGGCTGGTATGGCAGCCGTTCTGCACAAAGTTCTCGGACCCAGACTCCTTTTATCTTGTGGCATTGCTCTGTGACCCCTACTCACAGTCCTGATGGCTGCTCTGGATCAGCCACCTCGGCTCCTGAGGGGGTAGTTCTGGAAGCATTTCCTACTTGGGGAACCTCCTCAGGAACTGGTATGGCCTGCCGGGCTCTTTATGGTATTCGGCTTACACCTTTGAAGACACAAGAACCCTTGTGCTGCTAGTCACCTTCCCCCCGGCCTAGCCTCCTCCTCAGCTTCCCTGGTGGCTGAGATGGTAAAGGATCCACCTGCAACGCAGGAGACCCAGGTTCAATCCCTGCATTGGGAAGATTCTTGGTGAAAGGAACGGCAATCCACTCCACTATTCTTGCCTGGAGAACCTCATGGGAGAGCCTGGCCTCGCATGACTCAGCACACACACACAACCTCCCTCTGGCCGGCCCATCAGTAAGGCTCAGCACTCGTCCCATCTGGGAAGAGGTATGGGGAAAACTGACCCATGTGCGAGATTTTCTTTGAATGGACTGACTTCCAATACTTCAAACCAGGACTCAGACCATGTCTTGGTCTGCTTGGGTTGCTAGGACAAAAACACCATAGACTGGGTGGCTTCAGTAACACATTGATTTCTCACAGATTTGGAGGCTTGGAGTCTGAGATCAAAGTGCAAGTATGATTGGGTTCTGGAAAGGCCTCTTTCTGGCTTCCAGGTGGCTAATTTCCTGCTGAATCCTAACAGAGAGAAGAAAGGGGAGAAAGAAAGAGAGCAAGAAAGAAAGAGACAGAGACAGACTAATCCCATTATGAGGGCTCCACTCTCAGGACTTCACCAAAACATAATTACCAAGGGCTTTACCTCCAAATACCATCACACTGGAGACCAGGGGCTTTACCACATGAATTTCGGGGGACACAATGCAGTCCCACAGCGGACCATGTAACTTACAGGAACGGGA